TTATTAACAGGTAAGAAAAACATCTTTATACGATCTAGTTTGTCAATAAGGCATTTAAAAATATTAGAGTGGATTGAAATGCTTTCTGTTAAAGTTTGTGTTCTCACTGTGAGGGCAAGCTCTTAGGCCGAATACAGAACATTTCCCAGAGGTGCACTGATTCTCATGGTGCTTTTAGTAATGGAAAGGCCTCCTGTGGTCCAAACCATCCACACAGCCAGTTGAACTGACTTTATGCATGTGTGTCAATACAGGAGTATTCTCACATCCTTCCATTTTGCAAAAAACATTCCTCAGGAGTTTTTGGTTTTTGTGCTGGTGAAGAATGAAAACTAATTTCTGAAGTGGCTATAAAACAGAATTGCTCTCTGTGGCCAGCTCTAAATATTGTGATGGTTGTTTCATTGCTTAGAAGGAAATGACCAAGTACATTTTTCTTGTAAATAGTCTTTGATTTTTTTTTTTTTTATCTGCTTTTTGTAGTCAGTTTTTGTACAAAGCGGAATCTTCTTAGAAACTCCCGGTCTCCAGATGTTTTTATTTTAAAACATTTCTTGATTGCAAGATGAAAACAACTTGCAAGAAAATGTGCCTTCATGAAACATCACAATAGGAAGTCTCATCTGGACAAGAAGAACTTGTGTTCAGGCTCCTGGTCTGTCACCCAGTAGCTCTGGAGCTTTCTGTGAACTTCAGAGCACTTGAAAGAAAAGAACTATGAAGGAGTAAAATGTTAGAGACAGACCTTTAAAGTTGAACTGTTGAGAAGCATCTTTTAGGAGTGTGAAGTCGTCATGACTCAAATCTGTGATTAATAGGTAAAAATACTGTTAATCAAGCTGTGTGTGAACAGTGGAAAGTAAGAAAAATGGTGAATAAATCTTTCTTTTTTTTCAACAGCAACCAAGATTAAACAATGTTAACAAGTTGAAAGGTCTAGTAGTTAGAGCAGCTCCAAATATGCCTCTGTAGGAGGCTTCAGAGGTAAAAAGGGAAGGTGACGCTTTCAAGTATCTAAACGATAAAGGAGTTTGAGGCTCCATTTTAGAAGCGTAGTAGACACCAAGAAGACCGTGCGCCTCTGAAACTGATGCCTTTGATCACATTTGAAAGTGTGACTTGTGCTTCTAAGTCACTTTAGCACTTTTTAAAACTTTCTCCTACAGCTCTAATTGTGCAGATACTGTCAAGTCATTCCATGAGAAGACCTTGCATGCTCCCCACCCATCTTTAATCTCTTGTTTTGCTGGGCAGAACTTTCCCTGTAAACAGAGTATCTCCTGGTGCTGCTGCTATGAGGGAGCACTGCTTTGGACTCTAAGTATGTTGTGCTCAACTGCCTAAATCACTTTTGTAAAACCTATTGTGTGAGGACTGGAAGGAATCTTTTTTTCTCAGCTATGAGCTGATTTTCATTGTGCTGTGAAAAGCTGCTGTTACGGCAGCAGTCCCCTGCCTGTGGCCCTGAGACCATTTGACACTGCTGGTGGCCAAGGAAGGCTCCGCTGGTGGCCAGGGAAGGCTCTGCTGGCACGGTGCAGGGTGGCAGAAGCAGCGTGTGCTGCAGCTGGCTCGCTCGCTGTGGTGGTGGGTCAGAAACAGCTGGAGGCAGGTGCTTTTCAGCTTCCGTCCTGTGAATGCCACCTGATCAGGAGAGCTGCTGAATAAATGAGTAGAGATTGGACCTTCTGTGCTGATCTTACCTTTGTGACTTGTATTGGCAGTGAAATTGTGTCAGGATTGCTTTGCACCTAACGCAGGAACAGTTTGCCTGCAAGGCCACGCTGATAACGAGAAGCGATGTTTAGGCTTTCCTTGATATTTTTGTTTCATAAATCTTGCAATAATTTTATGTGTCTCTACTTTGTTCTAGGACAGATACCACAAGAATTGATTACTCCATACCATCAAGGGAAAATTGGGCTTTGCCATATTTTGCATGTCAAGTAGCAGCTCTCACAGGCTATTTAAAAAAAAACCTGAATTGTTCTGCTGAGGTAAAGCAAAATTAATTGCCTAATAAAGAATTACAGGTAGAACTGTACTAGAGTAGTTACCTCTCTCACTACTTTTGAGGTAGAAGACAGTAGATGTTTTGTTTTTCCAAACAGCTACTAGGCATGTGCAGTTTTTGCTAAGTGACTTATGCCCTGCCCTGTTATGCCCCCATGAGGGTTCAGAGAGAACAGTGTGGTAACCAGCTGTGTGCTCTCTTTCTAAAATAAACAGATGCAGAATTTTTCTCGCTATGTAGACTACTTAGTTGCTCTTCCTGTTGCCCAGAGGTGGTGGTAACTTCCTTTGCTTGTCTCCCTGTCAAAGGTATTCTGATTTGCTTCAGATGTTTTTGGATGTTTCAGTAATTAATTTTTTCCATCTTGTTAACTATGTTTGAAGTCAGTATTTCAATTATTTCCAAAAATAATAATTTATTTCCATATTTTCTGTTTCGGTGACCTCCAGTTACTTTGTGGCAGAGATGCCTAAGTATGGAATTAATGGTTTTGTTTGTTTTCTTTTTTTTCTTCTAGAAGTTTTGTTACCTTTTGGTGAGTGCTTCAACGTATACCTTCATGATGATGTGGGAATACAGTCATTATCTCCTGTTTGTCCAGGCTGTTTCTCTTTTCCTACTAGACAGCTTTGCTCTGGCACAGACAGAGAAGGTATTAGAACTCTTCAACCTACTAATAGTTGGCACCTCAGAGGTGCCTGCCTTGCATACTGCTCAGGAGCTCTAAAAGGTTCAGACTGAGCAATGACTTGAGAGTCTTGCAGGCTGCATCCAGATGAAGTGCATGTCATGTCCATCAGAGGCATAAAATGGTTTTAAACTCACTCTCTTCTCAACTACTGTGTTTGGGACAGCTTTCCTAACAAAAGAGTCGGAAGCTGAACAATGTTTCTGAGATCTGAAACACCCTTGGAGAGCTGAAAGAGTGATGAATGACACTCAGTCATGCATCCTACTTGGCCTAGCTGCCTCCTTTTTTCTTTGCCCTATTCATGCTAGGGTGTGGCTGACCAAAAAACTAATGTTGTCTCTGTGCAGTTAAGTGGCTCATTTTTGACCCTGAATGGCCTGCCCTATACTGATTTAGACAATAAATAGGCTAGACAGATGCTGAAGGCCAGTTGATTTTTTTCAGTACAAAAGTATTTGTATTTATTCTGCAAAATGCTTCCTCAATGTTACAACAATCAGGCCTTTTTCCCCTGCCTGTTGCAATGGTATAGGTGCCACTTTGTACATGTGTGCCTCCTGGTTTTCCCTTTCAAACTGTGTGCAACTCTGATTTGTCGTCTCTTCTTTCAGTTGCTTTTTTCCCAGCTCCTCAGCTGTGGGAAATGTTTGATCTATTTTACTTCAAAGCAGGGCCCTTAAAATGTACAGAAGATGAGTATTTTGGTAAAAGTCTAAAGAATCAAGTGTTGGGGTTTATAAGATCTGCTTATCAGTTAATAAATAATAGAAAGTATCAGTAACAGTCTGTGTATCCTTGAGATACGTTAAGTGAGCAAGTATTGTGGGGGCAAGGAGAGCACATGCTTACACTGATCAACTCCTTCACACAAATGATGTGTTCATACTCTTGCAGGGTGGTTATTGGTTCGTGCTGCATCACAGCGAGGTGTTAAAGAGTCGGGAGGCCTTGTAAAATACTTGTAAAAGTGTCAGTATTTTTACAGCATTCTTGTGAAGTAGTTTTGCACTAGTCACTGAGACTGACCAGGATAATTCTGATGTGAAATACTTTATGGAGCTGAGTGGTGCCCTGCCAGATCAATGAACTGGGGGATAGAGATCCATTAATCCCCTGAGTAACAGCGGAACGGGCTGAGCTATCTGCTGCTCTGAAAAGCAGGGTGGATATTCACTGTAATGTTATTTTATTGTGGTTTATTTTGTTTCTTTAACAGGTGCATGAAGTATACAAAATCTACTTGTTTTCTCTCTTCTTGGGGTACCTTTTGCAGTTTGAAAATTCAGCCTTACTAGTGTCACCATTACTGAGTCTTGTAGCAGCTTTAATGCTCTCTAAATGCCTTCAGGTAACTAGACTATTCTAACTCTGAGTGTAGTATTTGTTACTTAAACAATTGTAAATTGTAAATGATAAGGCATTCTTAAAATATTTTTACAGATGAATATGAAAAGAGGCACATTTATGTCAAGATTGCTGAAAATAGTGTATATTTATTTGGTACTTACAATAACAGTGACACTAAACTTCTTACTAAAGGTAAGATTCCTCTGTAAAATGATTTTAATTGTCAAAATCTAAATGGAAAAATGTTACAGATGTATCTTGGAAAAAACTTTTGAAGTGTTGCTTATCTTATTGATCTGAGAAACAGCATGCACCAGTACAGGTTGGGGGCTGACCTGCTGGAGAGCAGTGTAGGGGAAAGGGACCTGGGGGTCCTGGTAGACAGCAGGATGACCATGAGCCAGCAGTGTGCCCTGGTGGCCAAGAAGGCCAATGGCATCCTGGGGTGCATTAGAAAGGGTGTGGTTAGTCGGTCAAGAGAGGTTCTCCTCCCCCTCTATTCTGCATTGGTGAGACCACATCTGGAATATTGTGTCCAGTTCTGGGCCCCTCAGTTCAAGAAGGACAGGGAACTGCTGGAGAGAGTCCAGCGTAGGGCTACAAAGATGATTAAGGGAGTGGAGCATCTCCCTTATGAGGAAAGGCTGAGGGAGCTGGGTCTCTTTAGCCTGGAGAAAAGGAGACTGAGGGGTGACCTCATCAATGTTTACAAATATGTAAGGGGTGAGTGTCAGGAAGATGGAATTAAGCTTTTTTCAGTGTTGACCTGTGATAGGACAAGGGGTAATGGGTGCAAATTGGAGCATAGGAGGTTCAAGGTGAATATCAGGAAAAATTTTTTTACTGTGAGGGTGACGGAGCACTGCAACAGGCTGCCCAGAGAGGGTGTGGAGACTCCTTCACTGGAGTCACTTAAAACCTGCCTGGACACCTTCCTGTGTGATGTACTCTAGGTGGTCCTGCTCTGGCAGGGGGGTTGGACTAGATGACCTTCCAACCCCTATGATTCTATGAGAGTTCATAGCTTAATTCATAGCAAATTGGAGTACTAAAAATTAAATAATTTTGTATCTATACAAAAAGTCTTCAACTCAAGCAGCTGTATGTTGGGTTTTTTTGGTCTTTCAGGTTGATTTTAAAGCATAGTATAGAAATATTCTTTAGATCACACTGTAGCTATTTCATAAATGTGGGTTTTATTATAACTTGGATGGCCTCTGCAAGCTGGTCTGAGTGTTAAAACAATATTCTTGTGCATGGAAGAGACTAGTTGCCAGGAACAGGTATAAGTAGTCTCAGGGTAAATGTTAATTTTCAATTGAATTCCAACCAGAACATTGGAGTAGAGACCTTCATGTAGTGCAGGAGCTGGCTAGGGGTTGAGATTATGCAACGGGATTTTAGCCTCGTCTTGTATTTTGATTAGCAACTCCCTGTTTCTGGCTTTAGTCTTTTACATAATTTATTGTGCTTTTCCTCTGTGTTGAAAATTGACCCTGGCTGTGTTAATTAACAGTGTTGACTTAAAAAATAAAGAAGTTAGTGAACCCTAAACAGTTTGAGAGGATGTTCAGATCTGATAGTTTTCTTGAGCCATTCAGACTGGCTAGCCTTGCTGGACTTCCAGGAAAATAAAACCTAACCTTGAAAAATATGACTTAAATTCCGTAGACAGTACACAGAACTTTAGGCTGCTGAATCTATGTGAAGATTACGAATGCCCATAACTTCTGCTAGGCTGCAGTCCTGTTGTTTAGTGGAGCCAAACACAATGTCCTTTGGCTTGCTTGAGGGTTTATAAACTTCGGTCTGTTTTTCGTGATGCTTTTTGCACTGCTCAGTAGTCCTTTGTCAACTTATTGACAGCTTTTCATTTGCCCTCCTGTTGGGGTACATGAACAAAATGAAGGCTACAGTACTCTCAAGGAAACCCTAAAGACAGCTTTATTTAAATGAAGATTTACAATACTGTACCTGTGCCTTAATTGGCACACTTAATCCGATTTGGTAGTTTTAACTCAGTCTTGAATAGTTGATTGTTCCCTGCCATTTTGTAATCTGAGTGAAGCAAAAGCTGCTTCTGCCACTTGGTAATACTTTTCTCTGCTAAATTAATTTTCAGATGTTTGTTCCTCATAAAGAAAATGAGCATTTGCTGAAGTTCATTGAAGTAAAACTTGGCTTGAACACAACTAAGTAAGTTTTTTCATTCTTTACACTTCCTAAGACACCAGAACATCTGAAACTGCTCTTTGAGAAGTGTAAAATTTCAGTGGCCTGTGAGAATTTTATAGAGGAGCTGGGGAAACAGTTTCTGTTGGTCACGTGGTTTTAAGATGGAATTAAAAAAAAATGCATAAATAGAATTTACTTAGGATTTTGAAGTTTCTGAGGCACCTCAATATTTTTCATACCTTGGGGTGAAAGCATTTAATGGATTTTTGTTTTCCTTTGATGTTGAAGAGCAAAAACTTTCTGTGCCTTGTCTAGTGTTTCTAATAAGACTTAAAAACAAATAAGGTGACAGTGGTGTTACTAACTTCTTATAGCCTGGAAGAGAAAGGGCTCTGAAAAAAGTAATGAACTATTGACACTATCTCAAAACAGGGTTTATTTTTAGTATTTTAAGAGTAACACTACCCACTCCACCCAAAAAAAAAAAGCCAAACTGGATGTTTTGGAAGAAATTAGGACAAGGGACAACTTGAAAGTCAAAGGGAATTGTGATTCTAATACTGTTCACATCTGTAAAAGAGTTGAATGTTGGTCTACAAGAAGATGATGTCATGGCTACAGATTTTCTGGAAAACTTCAAGTGGAGTATTCATAAGGATTGAGACACCTCCTGGACCCAAGCCAAGACTTGGAATTCTGTGCAGGAATCGGGACTATCTCCTGGGAGCTGCATCTAACAAAACTGCTTCATAGACTTTCAGGGGAAGAAGTGGAAAATGACATCACACATAATTGAAATTGTTGGGAAATTTTTGGAAGACAAGGTATAATGACATTGCCTAAGATGCATTAACACACACCTAAATGATGTTAAATGTTTTGCGAGAACAGAGAGGACTGCCTCTGATCAGGATTTCAGAGTAGTCAGCTATGAGGTATTACGGATTCAATTTTTTCCCCTGGGGACTTGCTACGTATTACTTTCCAGACTGTCAGAATCTTCCATGAAGCCAGTGACTGAGACAAGCTGGGTGCAACTACACCTAGAAACTTGTGTAACTGTGGGTTGAAATTGGGAATTGCAGCACAAGAGGTTCAAGATCTGTAATTTAAGGCCAGTTTGGACATGCCTAGCTCTTAATCTTTAAACTGATTCTGTCTAATTGAAAGTGTTCCAGTTCTCTAGTTTTCCCTTAGAGGAAAAGAAAAAGAAAAGAGGGAAGAAAGCAAAACAAAATAAGACAAGAATGCATTCATGGTATCACACGCTGCACCAGCAGTTCCAGTTGAGAATACCCACTCATAGTGCTTCTTGGCAGGGTATATAAACTTCCTGCTCATTAATTGAGAAAGAAGAATGATCAAGTGGATTTGGCCACAGAACTAGAATTTCAGCATTAAGGATTCTGTTCTTGGCAGTGGCTTGGGCTTGGTTTTGATCTCAGATGACCACTTTCCTTCCTTCATGTCCCTGTTTGGAATGAGGACAAACACACCTTCTTGCACCAATCTCTCTAAAATCTTAATCCACTGTGACAACAAAGTGCTTTGTCGTCCCCATAACAGAGCTACGTGGGCAGTTGGGTTTTTGTGGTATGAGAGAGTCGTAGTCTGGTCTCTTCAGATCAGATTCTTTATTGGAAGTTAAACTTTTGAGAGTTACTCTAAAGAGTAGTTGCAAAGCGGTTTCTAGTGGTAAAAAGGTTTCAATGGCAAATTTCAAATACTCTTCTATGACATGAACAGGTTAAAGTGATTGGTTGTGTGCTGGGTTGTGTTTTTTTTTTTTTTTTCTAATCTTTGTCATTGTTTTAATGTAATTGTTTTTAATGTTTTTGCCTTACTAGGAATTTTACAATGAATTGGCTCCTTTGTCAAGAATCTCTTCAGGCACCCTCCCAAGACTTTTTTCTGCGACTAACACAGTCATCACTGTTGCCTTTCTATATTTTAGTATTGGTTATCTGCCTTTTTTCTGTAACTCAGGTTATTTTTAGAAGATTTTGGTAAGTAACTTATTTATACTGAAACATATGAAGTTAAAAATATTTTTGGATGTCTGAATGGTCATCACATTTATTGCTCCAAAGTTTGTTGCACCATTGAACTTGCCAGGGTGTAACCACCAGTGGAAATGTCCACCAGGGGTTCCTAAAGAAAGTCCTTCAGTGAGGAGCTTCTTGGGCATCCCTCCAGTCAGGACAGGGAGTTGTCATTGATTTGTTTCCCCATAGGTGCAATTTCTGCAGAGCTCTGGCTAATGTTTTGTGAAACTTTTATGTCTCTTGGGAGATGTTTTGTCTGTTTGCCTTTCCAACAGTAAGCTTACCTCATTGATGCTAGAAAATTTGCTTCTCTGTTTTGAATTTTTTTTTTTTTTAACTATGAAGAATGAAATGAGTGGAGTTGAGAGGATTTCAGATTTTGAATGCTTCACTTGGGTGGGATTTTTTTTTTTTACTCTGGTTTACTGTGATAATGTCCATCAGCCTTTGCTGCTCAGAACAGAGCTGAAGTAAAACTGAACCTATTTTTAGTTTCACAGTGATTCACAGTTCCCTTGAGAGAAGGGGTAGAGGAGCTCTCTGTTTACAGACTAAAAATAACAGCACTGTAGGTGCTAGTGACACTTGTCTTGGAAACTCAATGGATAGGAAATTCTCTCTTGTGGAAGATGAATGGTGTAACTACTCAATCATTAGGGCAGATTTCTCACTTGTCTGCAGCAAAAAGCAACAGATTTTTCTTTTCAAGAACCAACATTTCTAATAGATAAAGATTATACTGCTATAAATGAAAATATTTGTCAGATTGGATGTATGACAGTATACTCAAAACAATGAAACAAGCTTCTGTTTTTTTGCTAGTGGCTGAAGTAGCTATTTCCTACTTTATATTGAGCAGTGACTCCAGTATGTCCCAACAGCTTTGTAAAGAATAGCCTAAAATAAACCTTTTCCCCTCTCCCAATTTAATTTTTTTTTCTTTTTAATTTTGAAGTGGTTAATAATCTCAAATAATTTCCATTTGTCATGAGGAAGCTAATTATAGAATTGTAACATAAAATCATCATGGTAGAATAAAACGTTACTTGTTGTGTGCCTTGCTATCTCTTTTGTAGAAAAACATTTGTGGTAGGATTTTGGTTATGATTTTTGTTTATAATATACTACTAGAGTGTATAATAATGTGACTAAAAACATGGGTTTGTTATCTTGCTTTGTCATAAAATGTTGTACACGTTCCATACACAATTATCATCATACAGATTCCATAATTCTTCACCAAGCTAAAGATAGGAAGAAACTTAGAGAGCATGAACAGCATGCTTCATCTAAACATTTGCAGATGGTGCACGCTCCTAAATTACGCTGTCTGTTGGTGCTGAATTACATTTAAATAGGATTTATGGTCATAGGCAGTGCTCCCATAGTTTTAATTCACAGAAATTGCTCCAGAGAGGTTGCAATCTTAAAGTAAGGGACAGCAAGTACTGACTGACAGATCATTAGATTAAGTACAAAAAACAAATAAGCAATGCAACAGTGTGGTATGATATGACACAGAATGATCTCAGTGTATTGCTGACTTAATGGTCATAGAAGTATTTTTATTGGCATGTTTGCCTGAAATAATGTCTGAGTTAAGTGATGTCTCATTTTCTCCAGCTGCAGTGGTGAACCACTGAAAGAGACAATTAAACTTGAGGATGGTCGAATTGGAGAGAGGCCAGAAATAGTTTATCATGTAATTCACACAATTTTGCTTGGTTGTCTAGCGATGTGTTTGGAAGGGTAAGTCTGATTTTAATGTACCTCTTTTGAAAGCAATAGAGAGTTCCTCACTGGATATGATGCACCATTCATCCCTTTGAAATTCGGCCCTTTTCAGAAATGTGTTTGGCATATAGTGGTACTAGTTAACAGGGGAGAGAGCAAAGATCATTTTGACTATAAATTGGATACAGATATATGATGAATCGTGCTTAGTCTCCCTAATGTGTTTTCCAAGCTTTTAATGCAGCCAAAATCCAAGACATGAAAATTTTAATCACTTTCTTTATGGTATTCACATGCTGTTATTCTTCTAATATTGTATTCTAGCAAGATCTTGTGTAGTGTTTTGATGAACAGTGTATGTTCTGGAATACTGAGACATGGAAGATTTCTTATCAATCTTGTGTCTCAGCTAGCATGAGGTTCACCTATACCTGTTAAAGCAGTAGCAAAACTGTTTTCAAAGGTATTGTGTTAGTCCTTAAAGCTACAGAAGCTAATGTTTGGAAGATGTTATGATTCTATCTTTGGCTCTTAGCTAACTCAGTTTGAAGGTGGCAGGCCTGTGTTTGCTTTACGCTCATTGTCCTAAAACCTGAATATTCGCAAAGTCTTAGTGAGCAGACTGTTGTCTTACCATGTAGTTTTTCTGACTTGTTTAGTTATCCTTCAGAGGCAGGCAATATTAGCGAATCATAAATTGCTTATTAAATATTTTCCTTTCTTCAGGTATCCCCTTAGATTACAGGTGTTTTTTCCTTACAGCTTTGCTGAATAGCTGCTTTTTATCCTTGCTTGGCTGGGAAACTGCAACAGCCGAGTGACTTTACTAGTCTCTGTTTTTCTTTCGTCCTCCCCTGAACTCTGAAGGACTTTGTCTTTTACCTTGGATCTTGCTCCTACATCTTGCAGCAGATGATCAGGTGCCTGCTCTTCTGCTAGAGATTTCCTTTGTTTACCCCTCAGTGTCATCAAACATATCTCAGATTGCTTGAACATCCAGACTGTGTTTGACATTATAAAAATATTCAGATTTTTTAAAAATAGCTTGAGTGCAGATGCATGTGCAGAGTCCCAAGTGAGTTGCTGCCATGTTTTTCAGAATGAAGTACCTATGGACGCCTTATGTGTGCATGCTTGCTGCATTTGGTGTGTGCTCCCCTGAGCTTTGGATGACGCTGTTCAAGTGGCTTCGACTGAAAGCTGTGCACCCCATATTGCTGGTGAGTTGCTGGTGCCAGTGTTTTGGGAATTGCAGCTAGCCAGCATGTGACTTTTCAGACAACTATTACCTAAGCCTTTAGAAGAACTCATTAAAAGAGCGTATAGTTCTGTGAGCAGTGGATCTCATAGTCTGCTTTTTCTGTGGCTTTTATTCTTAATATATCACGCTTTTCATACTTGGCAATAAAGTTGTGTCCACATAACAGCCTTTCCTCATAAGAAACGGAGCTGGCTTAATCTCTGAAAGCATCAGTGTAAGCCTTGTCTTACTAGGAAGTGAGGCTAAAAATGTGGTAGTTTGGTGTATTTAATTGCTGAGAATAAAACTGCTTCATAAGCAAAGGTGAGTGGAATTTGTGTAAGATTTGGTCATGTCTGGGCATTATAGAGAAGTGTTGCAGCTGAAGATGAGCTTGTGCTACACTGCAGACAATGCCCTCCACTTCCAACTCCAGCTTTATTCTTGATATGCCAAGAGTTGTTTTGTGCAGTTTTTAGCAGTCTTCTGCATTTGCTTTATTAATTAAATAAGGGTAGGATATTACTTACTTTAATTTCAAGAGGCATATAGAAATAAATATTTTATACTTAAGAGCTTCTCTATGTCACTAGTAAAAATGCCATACACTGTTATATCAGAAACATTGACAGTGTTCTGCCAGTCAAAGAGCAACAATAGCTTCATGTACACAGCATTTTTATGTACCTCATGCTTTATATAGAAATAAAGAAATGCTATATATATGTAGCTATATAGACCTGCTTTTTGACTATTAAATAGATGTGTTAATAGCTTATTATTCCTTACCAAATGTTTCCTGTACCATGTGAGCTATTTTCTTCTTTTTGCAAAATAAAGTTTATGTCCACTAGAATGATGGTGTACGGAAGAATGGGTTTTGCATATAAATATTGTTAATCTGAACAAAACCATCAACGAGGTCAGAGGTTTGAAATACTTATTTCATATTTTTTTCTTTTCTCAGATTATCTCATTGCCTTTATGTGAGGTGTTTACCTTCCGTCTGTTGCCTACATCATGTGCACATTGTGTCATTGTTATTTGAGTAGTAATTAACCATCCCAAATACTGATTGAAAGTTATTATGGGTCAGATAAATTAATCCATGCTAAATTAGGCAAATTCTTGTTTGCAAGGTGTTTTTTGCGTGGCAGAAAACCATGGAGTTTCACCACTTACTGTCCCTCTGAGGTTTCAGGCATAAATGTAGCTGACTGTACAAGCAAAATCAACAGACAGCCAGAGTTGGAGAGTAGAGAACAGTGCATAATCCATTTCTTCTAACGTGTATTTCTAGGCTCTTATTCTGAGCATGGCAGTTCCCACAATAATTGGGTTCAGCTTGTGGAAGGAGGTAAGAAAAGTACCTTTGTGGTTTTTGTTTTGTATGTAGGCACAATCTGAGTCAAAATTATGAGCAAATATAAGAAATGTACTTGGTGAAATGAAATGCTGAGTATGTATTCATCATATGTAATTTTGTGGATGGTACCCAGCTGGGAGGTGTAGTTGATGTGCCAGAGGGATGGGATGCAATCCAGAGGGACCTGGACAGGCTGGAGAGGTGGGCTCAGGTGAACCTCATGAGGTTCAACAAGGCTAAGTGCAGAGTCCTGCACTTGGGCTGGGGTAACCAGCACTATCAGTACAGGCTGGGAGAGGATATACTGGAGATCAGTCCTGTGGAAAGGGACTTGGGAGTGCTGGTGGATGAAAAACTGGACATGAGCCACCAATGTGTGCCCGCAGCCCAGAAGGTAAATCACATCCTGGGCTGCGTCAAAAGAAACGTGGCCAGCAGATGGAGAGAGGTGATCCTGCCCCTCTACTCTGGCCTGGAGAGACATCACCTGGGGTCTGGGGTCCAGCTCTGGAGCCCCCAGTACAAGAATGATGTAGACATATTGGAGCGAGTCCAGAGGAGGGCCACCAAAATTATCAGGGGAATGGAGCAACTCTCCTATGAGGACAGGCTGAGGGAGTTGGGGTTGTTCAGCCTGGAGAAGAGGAGGCTCCGGGGCAACCTTACAGCAACCTTCCAGTACCTGAAGGGGCCTGCATGAAAGCAGGGGAGGGACTATTCACAAAGGCTTGTAATGATGGGACAAGGAGTAATGGTTTTACACTAGGAAAGGATAGATTTAGACTGGATATTAGAAAAAAGTTATTTAATATAAGGATGATAGATCACTGGAATGGGCTGCCCAGAGAGGTGGTGGAAGCCTCGTCCCTGGAATCATTCAGGGTCAGGCTTGATGAGGCTCTGAGCAACGTGACGTAGGTAGAGATGTCCCTGCTTGTGTAGGGAGGTTGGACCAGATGACCTCTAGAGATCCCTTCCAGCCTAAAACATTCTATGATTGTATGAAATAAAAGCTGCCATCCGCTGAAAGTATGTTTTGTTTTGCTTTTAAAGAAAACTTTTTACATTTCTCAATACTGAGTATTTGACAGTTTTGTTAATGATTGCTTATTGTAATTAAGATGTGTTTAAATTTCACTGAAAACTTTATTATATTCAGATATTATGCTTTAGATAAGTAAACTGACTCAAAAAGAAAATACTGCCAAATAAAAGCTCAGGTTATTGCGAACTGTGTTGCCCTGATCTTGATTTTTAGCGAGAGGGAGTGAAATTAGATGAAACTAAAATTAGGGGAGGCCATGTGCAGATAATCCGCTTGAAAAGCTCCCATTAAATTATAGAATCATAGAATCAT